TGGACGGCTGTGTTGGTTTTACCCCTGAACTCGGCCTTGAATCCTTTAGTATACTCTTTCCCAAGACTGTACAACCTGTTTCTGTCTCTAAAAAATGCTTGTTGCAAATAAAACGGGCTGTGACATTTCGTGCATGCGTCTGTATGTATTTACAGTTCCTCTTATACTATATGCATTTAGTGTTCTGATAGAGTTGAAATAAAAAAGTATAGTACATTATATGATAATACGCGTATTATTCATATAAATATATATTGTGTTATAAAAAAATTAAAAAACTAAACCTCTAATTTTGAATTGTTTCACTAAGCTTTAAATACATAGTTTCTCACCATTTCTTAATATTTCAAAATTAATACATAACATTTCACTAAGTTTACATTAGATAAAGGCTATGTTAATATTTAGGGTAATTTAATATATATATATATATATATATATATATATATATATATATATATATATATATATATATATATATATATATATATATATATCAAGAGCCATTTCAGACTTTAGACGGTCATCATGAGGCGACATTGCATATATATATATATATATATATATATATATATATATATATATATATATATATATATATATATATATATATATATATATATATATATAAACATTGAAGCATTATATATATATATATATATTTCTCATTATAATATAATACTTTACTTTCGATTACATATCTGTGTATTGTTAGTTTTTGCATAAACTGTTGTACAACTTATATCCGTTACATGTGTCGTTTTTTACTACAGTTTTACTTAAAAATTGATGTTGCTTGTAACACACTAGTTGGAAAAGTGCACTTTAATTAAAAGATGATTTTATGTTTCAATTATAATTGTATGTAAAGAAATGTACATAAGTATGTCTCTCATTCATCATTAGTCTTGTAACAAGGTTACATTTATTCGCTTTTAACAGCTTTATGGTGGTTATGCTTTGATATGTTTTTGCATATATTTTTTAAAAATATACCCAAGTATAAAACGCTAAGTGTATAATTACACATCTTTCTATAAAAGTTGACACATCTTATTTTTTTCACATATATATATATATATATATATATATATATATATATATATATATATATATATATATATATATATATATATATATATATATATAAGAGAGAGTTTAATTGATTCTGGTACACTTTTATATATGATTTATTTAATATTACTTTTATACATTTTTTCTTCACACATTGTCATGCTTTTGAAAATCCAGTTGCAAATAAGATCTTTTTTTAAATCTTCACAAATATATCTTAAAATTACGTGAATAGCTGGTAAGATTGTTTACAGTTCATATATATATATATATATATATATATATATATATATATATATATATATATAAATTGGCTAGTATCCCGTAACAGCTTCTGTTCCACTACTTCAAAATTGATAAGAAAACAGATTAAAATTTTGTAAAACCTAACCCTTGTAAAATGAACTTTTAAAATAAATTTTCCACCTCTTTAAGTATGCCCCCGAGACGACTGTCCCCTCCCTCTTCGCCCCACCTGTTGTGCGACTAGATTTTATTTTCATTAAATTCTATTTTTAACCAAAATAATAACGTACAACTGAAGTTTTTATAAGAAAAAATTCCATCCTTAATGCCAATATATTTTTGTAAAATTATATAGGTCCATAACACTTCATTGGTTTATGTTCACGATTAAAGGCCGGTCAACTAACCATTATCTTCACTCAAATAAGAATCTAAACTTTTATTGTATTGGTAGTTTTTACTTCATATTACGTATTGTTTAATGTTGAATTTTTAATAACTGTTCTAATGTATACTTCTTAAAACTATAATTCTAAATCAAAATACATTTTTAAATATGTTTGATGTTTATTTTAGGTGTTTTTGATGTTTTGTTACAGATTCCTAATTGATAAATTGTTTATGACAGATACTTTTTTGATATTTCAATGTAAACATATAATGAAATATAAATGTATGAACAAAAAAGAAACATAATGCACTACAAATTTAGTAACAACTATAAAAGTTTGCGTTTGCTTTTCTTGCTTGTAGCGAACTGGGAGACTTTAGGTCGTCCCCTGCATCGAAATGTCACCTCATGTCCAAACCAGCTTACGTCATGCAAGGTGTGAGTAGGCAGAATCTTTTCTATAAATATAGGTGGCTAGTGGCTGGTAACATTGAGGTGAGCAATGCTTCATCATATTCTGGTTCGCCAAGGCTAAAGAGCACTGTTTCCGGTAATTGTAACCGTACGAGCAAGAAGTTAATTATAGAAAAAAAAAGATTAGTAGAAATTAAGATGGACGTAAATAATGATGGGTGTAGTTGGTTTAGTCTGGGGTTTAGGAAATACAGAAATCAGAGGCGTAGCTTGACATTCCGGTGCCTTGGGCGGACTTTCAATTTTGTGCTCCCTTCGTCCCATTTAAAGATAGTTTTCCAGTTGGTGAAAACGACCTCTACCCCCACACTTGGAAATGTTTGTGCCGCTACTCACCAGCTACTCTCCCGTAACAGTTTCTGTTTCGCTGCCTCAAATATGATAAAGAAAGCAGTTTAAAAGTTTGTAAACCCTAAGCCTTGTAAAATGAGATTTTAAATTAAACCTGCTCCCCTTTAAGTCGGCTCCCTCCCCGCCACACCCACTGTGCGTAGCTGGAAACAACTAGATTTTATTTTCATAAAATTTTTTTTTTACAAAAATAATTTTTTATGTATTTATGGAAAATGATATTGGTCGATAACTCTTCATTGGTTTCAATTCACGCTTAAAGGCCGGTCAACCATAATTTTAACTCAAATAAGAATCTAAACTTTCAATGTATTTGTAGTTTTTACATCATATTACGTATTTTTTAACGTTGGATATTAAATTACTGTTCTAATGTATACTTTTTAAAAATATAATTCTTAACCTAAATAAATTTTAAAATATGTTTGATGATTATGTTCGGTATTTTTGATGTTTTATTACAGATTCTTAATTAACATATATTTTTCTTACAGATACTATTTTTATTTTATTTTTTAATGTAAACACTTAATGAGATATAAATGTGTTAACAAAAAAAGCATAATGCACTACAATTAAATAACAACTATGTTACATACATATCGAGTACATTGTTCTTGATTGTCAAACTCCACATACCAATGCACACTATTTGTCAACAATTTTTTATCTATAATAAAATATATTGGTTCGAAAACGTTTCAAGTGATTTTTTTTTAAATTTTTTCTTAGTCCATAAGTTTTAAAAAGTACATTTCTTAGATATAAAGTATCTATATTTTCACTGATATTACATACATAAATATTTTTAAAAAAATGAATATTAAAATACGTGTTATAACATTAATATTTTTTATTTAAAGAAAACAACAGAATATACAACTGCATTTTAGTACAGGCTATTATATCTAATATTGTTTATAAAACACATTAATTTTATTTCAGCATGAAAACATCGCTTGTATTGGACATGTAATACATGACGTAGCTAAGTTATATACACGTACATTTTTTTTAAAGTTGTCACAAACGTAAAGACAGCGGTTTGCACACGTAAAACGACAACAACTACGAGAACAGGTCTCATTCCGTAATACAATAAACACTACCGAGTGCTACAGATACTTACAATGCTAGAGAGCACCTGTCACTCGATAAAAAAGCTTACACACACACAAACACAGACACACATACACATACACACATTCACACTTACATAAACACACATGGCCAGGGTCAACTACAGGTATTTGAAAACACACTTTGGATAAGAGTAAAACTGCCTCAAAAAGATGAATAAGCAAACATCAAGTTGTTTATTTTACAATCAGAATCATAGCTTTTGAAACAGGTAATGCTCTATGACAGTGGCGTAGCGAGGTCGGGTGTCACCCGGTGCTGCACTTAATGGAGTCACCGCCCAGAGGCGTAGCGACCCCTCCCGAGGACAAACACATTTTGCAATTTTTTGCCTTGGTGTCACCCCCCTAAATGGTGTCACCCGGTGCGGTCCACACCCCCCTGTGTTAGAAGGAATGCACAAATTACAAAGACAAAGGAAATAATCTAACAAAACAAGACCAACAAATCAGAAAAACATTACTACTTTTAGCATTTTATTGACGCCGCTATGGGTTTGGTCCACGTTATTGTTGACATTTTGACGTGTATAAAGTACACCCACACACAATCTAAAAATAAAAAGTTTCAAGGTTTGTGTATAGCACTAGCAGGTAGGACGAATGTAGGCCAAGGCTGAATACTCAGAAAAACAGTTCTACTTTCACTTTCGTTTTTACATTTATTTTCGAGCCACTATGAATGTAAAGGTCAACAGATAACGCAAAATACACGTACGAAAAATGAAAACTTTTTATTGATTATATTGATCGTATGATTTTTAAAATTGAAATTATCTTACTTAAGTCATAAGTCGTAAATAGGGTTTGTATATACATATTATACTACATTTCATTAATTGACTGCATCCATTGATAGTTGTGAACGTCAGTCGTACATGTTGCGATAACAATATAACGTCTTATAGATACAGACATAACTTCATGAGAATACTCTTGTTAGCTAACATAATTATATTTTAAGGTCTCACAAACAACCACATGAAAATTAGTTATTAAATTTTGCGTGTTTAAGTTTTTAATAATTAAAACTTTTGTATCGAAATGTTTATTATATATAAAAAGAATATTTTAGAGATCGGTACTATTTCAAATGTTGAGTAAAAAAACACATCTAATTATTTTGTATTGTTTCAATCTATTAACTTTTTTAAAGCGTTTTGAAACCCTTGAATTGTTTCAATTTTATTTCTTTTATGCAGTATAATATAGTTAGCTTGCACTTTTTACTCCCACCCCCACTGTATGTGGGCCGTGGTTTTCCGTTTCTTACGTGTCTGTTCCCATCAAAATTCCTGTTACTGTTGAAAACAGTGCACTTTAGAGTTCACACATAAAAGGAATTTCCGTTTCTATTTCTTTTTCCTAGAACTGACGTGGCTACGAAGTTCGATAAAATTTCACATAAAAACCCAACAGCTCAGCGCAGTTTTTCCCCAGTGTCTGCCCACATTGAGGTAACTACGCTTTGAGAATTTGGACCATCTATTTGATACTTCGTCTGTTATCAGCTAGCAGTTAGATAAGAGTTTGGAGTTTGGAGCTTACAGCTGTGACTATTTGTAAAGGTTACATTTTTTTTACATTTTTATAGTAATTTAAAGTAAATTATCAGTTTTGTTCTTTAAGTATTTTTAAGTATAACCGTGGTAAAGTTGTGTTAAAATGGGCAGGACAGTTTTCTCACTTGTTCTTAATTTTAATATTGAAAATGATTTCCTACATCAGTAAAACGTAATACGTGTTAACATGTCATGCGCCATTTAAGTAGTTGACTCCGATTCCAGCCTTTTGTTCTTTTCTGGATTTACTTCCATAGCCTTGGTCCATCCATAAACAAACTGTAAGCCAGCATTTCTTTGATTTTGGAGTTGTCTCTAGATGAGTTGCTGCTCCAATCTAATGTTACCCTATGCAGTGGTATAATATTGTGTAGTAAGCATATTCTCATTTAGTAAAATCGTAGCCTAATCGTTATGTAGTAGAACCTGTTCACAAGGTTATCCACAATTGTAAATTTGCAGTTTATTCTTTTCTTTTTTACTAGTACCATAATTATAATGTCCATTTTAGTCTTCTTTGTATTAAAATGGACAAAATATATAAACGTGTAGGCCTATAAATGCACTTTTCTTAAATTTGAATAGTATTTTTTGTGATAGAGTAATTAATTATGGGCATTATAAATGTAAGATATTCACATATAAAATGTGAACCACTTACTCACATTTTTCTTTTTGTAAAGATAATTTACAGAATTTCATAGATTCTTATGAATATATGATACAAATACTAAACGGAATTATGTTGGCTTATATTTGTATAAGTATATATATATATATATATATATATATATATATATATATATATATATATAGGACAAACTGACTATTGATATAAATAGATAAGTACATATAATGTTCATATATATTTTTTCATATAGAACAATGGACTCAACCTCAAGAGGAACTGTCGGCTATTTGTCTTATGCAAAAGACAGGGAACCACAGTTCCCAACAAACTGGAGCCCATATCAACAGTCATCTTTTCTTGTAGATGTTGATCAATCCACTCAATCGATAATCAGCGACCTAGTTGTGAGAACTTGGGACAGAGAACCATACTACCTGGGAAGAGATGCCGCAGGTTTGGACCGCAATTCTAAAATTTCCATCACCAAAGTGGAGAGGATTGAGAACAGGGCGCTGTACTCCGCTTACAGAAATGCCAAGTTGAAGCTAATGCAGGACCAGATAGATAAAAGGGGTATCTGCACCCCCATTGAAAGTTTGCCGAATTCTGGCGGGGGTATTCAGACGACAGAACTCCTGCCTAGCCATTTTACGCAGAGTTTGTGCAGTGAGATTAACGAGCATTACCTGTTCCATGGGACGACCTTCGACAGGATTGGTGGACTGTCCAGTGGGGGTTTTAAAATCAACAAGTCTGACCAGAATGGGATGGTTGGCCAGGGGATCTACCAGGCGGAGATGTCCCGGAAAGCTGATCAATATGCCGGTTAGGATTTTTTTTTTATTCCTTATTGGGTTTTTAATTAATTTAAACTAATTTTAACCAATACTTTATTTTTTCTTGAACACTGCATATAGATCTTTCAACGACCTATATAGAGAAACAAAAGAAAACAAATAAAATCATAAATTGTTCAACACAATAGGGCTGGTAAGTAGGTCACCAACCAGTTCTATGGCTCATGCAGGTTTTATTGAGCCGTAGAGCTGGTTGGTGACCTACTTACCTGCCCTATTAAACACAAATATCATCACAAATATTTTTTTTAAATCCCTTTGTTATATAAGTTTTTTTTTAAAACCTTTCCTTCAGATCCTAAACATGAGCGCAGTCCAGATGGCTATAGGTTGAAACTAATCCTCAGTCGCACCTTGCTAGGAAATGTCACTGTTCTTGACAGTAAGATCTTATATAATTTGGCTATATATATATATATATATATATATATATATATATATATATATATACTTAAAATATTCGGCGGTTTCAATGCAATGCCATAAAGCTCTGATAGCACCAATATCGTTTGTGTAAGTAGCTGATGAAATTCTGGGCCACCTTATGGCATCTGATAATATTTGATTTACACAATTGAGACACCCACGTTCATCAAACAGTTTTGCTATGTTGATTCAACTAACACACACTACTTGACACAAGACAACGAGGTGTCATATTCAGTGTTTTTTCCAGACTTTTTTCTCCGGGGGGGCACTAGAAATTTTCGGGGGGGGGGGGGGGGCGGTAGACTTTCTCCGGGGGGGGGCGGACACTGTTAAAAGTATATATTTTCTATGTAAATTATATAAATTTCATTTCGTTAGGGGGGGGGGGGCGGTAGAAGCCCCCCCCCCCCCCCGAAGAGATGCCTGGAAGAAACTCTGGTCCTATTATTAGCAAGTCTTTGATCATTTTGTCTGTACTCCCACACAGGACCTGACAACTACTACCGACCGACCGGTCCCTTCAACTCAGTTGTAGCAAACATCAAACATAAGATGTTCCGGGAGTTTGTCGTGTATGAAGATGGTCTGGTTTATCCGGAGTACGTCGTCACCTACAAGCGGGTATAGACAACACGTGATCATGTTAGACCTCTGTTGGCGACTCAATGTTTGTTTTTGTTTCTGTTCGATATCTTAGTGTTTAGATGTATTGTATCAAAATAGTTTTAGATGTTATCGAAGAATTTTAGTATCGAACTTCGAAGAATAACAAAAAGAAAAGAGATGTTTGTGATTATTAATTTGCAGTTTTTCAACAGAATGAAGAATGTCGTATTCGTTACTATTATTATAGAAAACATGTATTTTTCTTTAAAAAAAAAAACGGATCAGAAAATTACGGATTAAATATTTAATACTTAAATGACGAGTATTCAATGAAAAACATAATTGTTATTAAAATACTGTATTGTTTCTGTAAATTGTTTTTTAATTTAAAAAATGAATAAATTCCTTATCAAAATAAAATATTTAAAAACATTTCTTGAATTCTATTGTATGATGTTATTTATGGATTGATATGTGGGTGTCTGTTTGAGTGTATGATGTTATTTCACCTTTCTGAAATGACGAGTAATTACTATTTAATTTAAATACAACTGATTATGTTAATTTCCTACCATAATTAAATACATTTTAACAATTCAGATAGATACACATGGTCACATTATATAACAAAATACCATCTTCTACAAATATTTATTTATTTAATTTCAATGCTTCTAAATTTAGGGTCAGAAGAACCTTTACATTCTGTTATATGCAAATCAGGCTACAGATATGTATATAGTAGTAACGTTTTTTTTTTAAATTTACTTTATAGTATAAGAATAAAGAAAACTACAAAAAGACAACAATAAACAAACAACAACAACAAACAAAATAAAACAGATCACTTCTCTATCTCGTTACAAAGTTTTTAATCTTAAATAGTTGTAATATATTCATTGTTTCACTGTATCAAATAGATAAAATATAAAACTTCTGAGAAATATAATACAGCATAACCCTTAGAGGTAAAAAACCAAAAGTTCATTTCCAGGAATTTCCAGGATAAAAATAATCTCTGCGACCACGTCAAAAAAAAATCGTTATCAGAGTGTGACGGTTTGTCGTCAGCAGAATGCCAAGAATTATTGACGTGTGTGTATCAGTTACTAGGAACAGCTACACCTCAAATGTACACTTATGTTTGTCATTTTGTATATGCCGATAGTGTAGATGTATTTGTTGCAACTGGTGACTAAGTTTTAAGATAGGTGAGTTTTTTATTTTATTATAAAAGTAAACATGTATATAGAAGTCACTGCTGATTAGATATTTGCCTGATAATTACATACCCATAGTTTTTGGACCAGTTAGCAATGTGACTAATAACCACACATCGGTCTATCTAGAAAACAGAAAATATAAACCGAAATTTGTAGTCACATGTCAAAGCCGAATGGAACCAAGATCTTAATAGACAATAATTTCTTGGAGGACTAGTTTAAGTTAATGATGAGTTAATTAAAAGCTTAATTTATCAAAGGATTTTCGTTTATTTATATCATTATTCTAAATTAAGTTTATTTTATATATAATGATTACTATATAACTACATATATTGTTGTTTATATATAAATATTATTACTTAATAATAGTAATGTCTTTATGTGATGTTTTTCAATATAAAACAAAACCAAGTGTACGACCCAGTCAGTTTAATTTAATCTCTGTGGCACTTGTATATGTTATAATTAATCTCATAAAGACATAATAATAATACGAACATATATATATATATATATATATATATATATATATATATATATATATATATATATATATATATATATATATATATATAATGTATTGCAAGTCGTAGTGAAATAATTTTAATTGTGACATACATACACAGTTCAGAGAAATGCTTCAGCCTTGGATGATTTTTTTTTTACATTATTTGTTAGAGTCAACGCGGAAGTGAAATACATAACGATGTCTTACGGACATAGGTCTTTGGAGTATTTGAAAACACTGGCTGAGGAAGAAACTCCTCCTTTTTGGCGGAACATCAATTTAGGTTTAAAGCCAAAAATATTAGTCGATGTTGATAGAGTAACGAAAGCAGCGATAGAAAGACTGGTTAAAGATACATGGGACCCTCATCTTGTTGGGAAAGGGGCGGACGCAGGGGGACTAACCCATTCCAATCTGGTAGTGGTCCAGGTACAGCGAATTGAGAACCCCCGACTTTTCACCGCTTACAATGATGAAAGAAAACGGTTGCTGAATAAATTGATTATCATGGGTTACACAAGTGCTAGGCCGATTGAAAATATACCCAAATCAAGCGGTGAGGTAGCAACCACAGAATATTTAGATGAAATATTGAAGAAAGATTTGTTTCCTGAAATAAACGAGCACTATCTACTTCATGGTACCAAGTTTTTTAGAATTGGAAGTATCATTACACAAGGACTAGATCCTAAGTATACTGACTCAAGAGCTATGTTTGGGAAAGGCGTCTACACCGCTGAAAAATCAACCAAAGCCGACCAGTATGCAGGTAGATAGGATAATTTTTTAAATGTATTTTAAATGGTGATTCTATGTAAACCACCGAATAAACGTTGCTGCCTCGAAAGGTGTGTAAACTCGCAGCTTTAATCCCACGCTACATAAGTCCCATGTGACGTCGTGGTTGGGTGGTGCAGCGTACGACTGCTAACCCGATAGTTTCGAGTTCGGTTCCTGGCTCGACCCCTTTAGACGGACCTGAGTCTACCCAGCTCTGATGGGTACCTGGCTCAAGTTTGGAAAAGTATCAGCGGTTGGGTATAGTGTTGTCCACATTATCTCTTCTTAGCCGTAGTTTCCAGAAATAAGCCATCTTTAATTTCTTTACCCCATGTAGAACGCCCCTGAGTACACCCAGTTCAGATGAGTACCTGATTAAAGTTGGGGATAATAAAGATGAGTGGGCAACAGAATGACCAAACCATTCCTTTATGTGAAAACGATTTCATCTATCTTCTGGACCGCTATGTTTGAAAGGGGAACATTTTTTTACTCACGATATTAAGTGCACATGTTCCAACTAATTCAAATTTATAAAGCGGTTGTCAATATAATTTTATCGACAATAGTATCCAACCAAATGATCACAAGACAAAGCCATGATTAACTAGAAATTATCTTCATCATCTCGTGCTCAAGACACATGGGGAAGATGAAGTAAAGTTTATCTGTTTCAGAGACCTCGGCTTATAAAGAGATAGTGTGGTCAGCCCTATTATCAGCCGCCTTTGCTTTCCCTAACGTGAGTTAAGTACCCATTAGAGCTGGATGGACTCAGGGACGTTTTACTGACTTGAACCCGGATTCTATCTCCAGACTTTCGGGTTAGCAGTCTAGCTCTCTACCGCTAGGTTACACAGTTGAACTAGAAATAAAAAAAACCCAAAATAATCACTGCAACATTTATTGATAAATCCCACGTTAAATATTGATCATTCAGCGCTCAACAGAGCTTTTCCAATGAAAAATAACTTTTCACTTTTACGCATTATATCTGTAACCATTTTAAGAACAACCTAATAATAGCTCAATGGTGTGTAAACTTTCATCTGTGTAGACGAACCAGAGAAGCGACGCCCACACAAATGGCGAAACAAGCTCATCCTGTCTCGTATGCTACTGGGCAATGTCTTTTTGTGTAGCGAAAATCACAAGACTTTAAAAGACAAAGGTAATTTTTAAATTCTGTTACTAAATAATCTATACTGAAACAAATTCCTTAGTTGACTTTTTTAAAATAGGAATAAAACTAAAACAAATATCCTACTCCAAAAGTTAAATTATTTGAGTTTGTTAATCCGAACCAGAGTTTCTCCCAGGCATCTTTATGGGGGGGGGGGGGTGAGGCCGAACAAAGTCTAGCGCCCCCCCCCCCCCCGAACGAAGTGGAATTTATATAGAAAATATATACTTTTAACAAGACCACCCCCCATTTCAGTCCGCCCCCCCCCCCCGCAAATTTCAACTGCCCCCCCCCCCCTGAAGTATATAAAGTTTGGAAGAAACACTGATCCAAACTTGATCAATGCGATGTGATCGTGATCGCTTGTACAATCTATTGATTACCAGGCTCCGTGTGATTCTCTATGCCAAGTAACAAGCACATATTTTATTTTCAGACGGACCAAAGTTGTCCGGACCTCCGTGCATCGAGTGTTTGGAAGACAGGTGCATCTGTAGGTCAACACAGCCTCGTTTTGACTCCGTCATGGGAGACCGAAGCTGGAGGTTTAGAGAGTTTGTTGTATACAACAAGAACCAAATTTACCCTGAATATGTAATCACGTACAAAAGAGCATAAGTTCAAAGCTAATTATCTAAACTATAAAGTCAGGAAAGAAGTTATTTTGTTCGTTAAGGTTAAAACAAAATTTTCATATGTATTAGTTATTAGACAATGCAAATATAAATACAGGCTAACCATTTGAAAAAAAAGCTCAAACCTTTGATGCAGGAGAAAAAAATATTTAAACTTGGAAAATGAAGTAGAAATAAAAAGTACAACAACCGTAAATAGTTTTATTTATTAAATCTAACTGCTAACATTTTTTATTTTTATTTAATACTACTTGTATCAGTCTATTTACACCTTCTGATTTAGTGTATTTTGTTCAGTCTCAATTTTTATTGAATGGTGTGTTTATTAAACGTATTTATTTTTACCTAAATTGTTTGTATATGTTTTTATTCTGAATATTTAGAAAAAAGATTAATTAAATCAATTACAGAGATAAAAGGAATAATAACAGATAACCTATATATATATATATATATATATATATATATATATATATATATATATATACATATATACATATATATATATATATATATATATATATATATATATAATATTAATTTTATATATAAAATACATTAGGAAGTTATATCAACTTAATGCTAAAAACTTCTATATTGCATATCACGCCTAACACAATACAAAACTAAAGACATTTCATACCACTATTCAGTGGCGTCTCTAGGTCGGGTGTCACCCTGTGCGTTCTGTACCACCCGCCCACAACACCTGCGACGACACTGCCACTATTCATCCCGCCAACCTCTACTGTAATAACATAACAACCATACCACGCAATGAACCAACCTTACCTTACTAAGTTTTGTTATAAAACAATCATAATATGCACGATACAATAGCAAGTCAATAAAATAAATAAAAACTTTGTATACAATTTAATTGATTTGCTTAGTGTTTTAATTCTTGTTTCAAAATCAACATCAAGCTTACTTATAAAAGCTTAATTTGTTTTAAGTATAAAATATCTTCAAAAGTAACAACAAAATGTGTACTGTTTAGCCTAGCTTAGGGAAGATAACATTATGATATGGTTTACAACTCGCCATATAAAAAAAGAACATGGTTTACAACTCGCCATATAAAAAAGAACATTGTTTACAACTCGCTATATAAAAAAGAACATTGTTTACAACTCGCCATATAAAAAAGAACATGGTTTTACAGCTCGACATATAAAAAAGAACATTGTTTACAACTCGACATATAAAAAAGAACATGGTATTGCAAATCTAGCTTTCCTGAAACTGAAATCGCAACTAGGGAGGTACTTCCCTTCATAAAATTCTGACATTAAAGCTAAAAATAGTTAACGGAAATTTTAGAATTTTATCAATAGACCCTACTGAGAATAGTCTCGAAATTATTCGAGAGGAACATTAAATATTAAAACAATTATCCTTTATGTGCTTAAAATTAATATGGTTATGCAATCCTGATGGTTTGATTTTTGTTGGAAAATAATAAAGAGAGGATATATTTTACGTTTTAGTATTTTCTTTACTTAAACACGATTTTAAAAAAGGCATCAGCAGTTTCGTTTTCACGTGGTAATGGCGATATAAACGAAGACATCCTGGTATTTGATAGGCTAGAGTCAATTGTATCCTACAAAATCCTACAGGTTGGCGATGGATTCTTTGGTGGAAGAATCCACATCCACCAACACAGACCATCCGCTACCACCCGTGCTCTGGTTCCGTGGAATATCTGTCTCGGTCTCTGCGAGGTGTGTTGGTTGCTCTATAGTCTCTCTCTTGGGAGTGTTGTGGGAATACATCTCGCTGGAACTATAACTAGGTCAAAAGGTATCCCCGCCACCTGTGTTCCAGGGCCTTGGGATTCCTGGCTCTGTTTGAGCAGATTGTCTTGGGCGCTCGACATATCGATTGGAAGTGTTGGAGGAATGCATCTCGCTAGAACTAAAAATAGAGAGAGATGTAACACTGGTCTTTGTCGAAAATATTGTTACCACTAACCTTGACCTTAACCCTGGAATCAATTAGTTATCCCTTTGCTCAATTAACGTTATTCTTGACCATCTCTAACACACACACACACACACAAACACACACACACACACATTACAAAATATGTAATTCTTTATTTTAAAGTTGGGCTACTGTTTTTAACCCTTTCCCCGGCGACTGGGTGTAATCGACCCGAAGTCGCTATATTTTTGCTCATATCTCGAGTCTCGTTTTATAAATTTTTCTGGGCCTCATTCCCATCTATAAGGTGGTTGGGATGAACTCATTGGAGGTTGTAAATTTTAAAAATATGCGTAAAAAATTTTTTTATGAGGGTTTGAAATTTTTTTATACGGTCCCTGGCAACTGGGTGCTACACACCCGTACACAATTTTGAATGGAAAAAATATTTATAACTTATAAACTGGCTTCTAACAATTTGTTTTTACTCATTGTGGGTTAAGTCATTGTGTTACATTTTCAAAGTTTAACTATAAATTAACAATCCGAAGGTATTTGAGTAACAAAAATATCAAACCGGATTGAAGTAATCAACTTTAGTAATAAAATAATAGAACATTAACATGTCTTAATCACTTGCACCTCAGAGAGCACAGTTGTTAGATACAATTAAAATAACTGGACATTTCCTCTTGCTGGCAGGGAACTTTAGTTTTCTTTGACAAAATATGGGCATTCTTTTAGTGGTGTTACATGAGTCACAGGTCCAAAATATTTTAATTACATACTTATCGGAATTGCTTGGTATGTATTAGATCAGGGGTCTCCAAACTTTTCAGCCCGAGGGCCGCATTAACTATCAAATATCAGTTCGGGGGCCAGAGTTTCTTTAAGGCATCTTTTTAGCCCCCCCCCCCCCCACGAAATATAATTTATATAGAAATATATAATATAACAAATTTCAAATGTCCCCACCCCACCCGAGGTCCACGTTTGCTCTCAAATTGTTCTTCACGTATTTTATTCTTGAAAATGTTTGTTCACACAGGAATGTTGTTTCAAAATTTGAAAGGTACTTTGATGCAAAAGTTTTAATATTAGGAAAGTCTTCCTTGTGCACAAACTTATGAAAACCCATCCGCCCTTCTTTAAACGTGTCTCTAAGGAAGTCATTTTCTTGCAATTCAATGACCTCCAGCTGCACTTCATCTTTGCAACTGGCCACATTAGCTTCAAATGGGCTTTGAAACAGTCTCACTTCTTCTGCCTTTGAATCCAAGTCTGAGAACCGCTACTGAGACTGCAGCTGGAGGTCTTTAATGATCTCGTATGTAATTGACGTGGGGAACTCAGTGGTTGGTTCAACCGTAAAGACCTTGCACTGCTGAAAGTGTGTCAAGTTGTTAGCCTGTACTTGTTCCAAAAACATGACACGTTTGTATCTAAAGGCCTTTAGGTGGGTGTATAGATCAGAAACTAGATTTCACTCTGTTGTCGTTTTAGGTTCAGAAAATTTTAATGACTAGTTATGTCTGCCGCAGAGGCCAATTTCCATACCCACTCTTCATCAAACAACAATGGCTGTGACTTGCCTTTACTTTCAGGAAGTCACCTATTTCCTTTCTTAACTTAAATACGTCTGCTCAGACTAGAGCTTTCTCGCTAAATTAGCTATCTTACTGATGTAAAATAAGGTAAATCTTGCGATTTTGTGTTTGTCTCTGAACTATCTATGGTTAGATATCCTCTTTGGTAACAGTGTCATATATTCTATGTAAGGAAGCCAGCTCTTGCGTTATGTTCATGTCTTCGCACTTCTAATGAACACAAAAAGTTGAGGTGGAACAACTGTCCAGCGACTCATCCATTGCAAATGAAAATGGCGAAGCTTGCTTGCATTTGTCGCTATTAGACTCACGATGTTTTCACCAATGTCTGAAACACGGCTATAAATTGTATTTACACCCTAAGCCACATTTTCAAATTATTTTGAATTTTCTGTGCAAAGTTTCTCAGCCACATCTAACAAACATTTATTCCGTGGACAAAAAGATCGTCGCGGGCCGGATAAAATGACCTCGCGGGCCGCATCCGGCCCGCGGGCCGTAGTTTGGAGACCCCTGTATTAGATAAATCTACTCCCACCTCTAAAATCAACCACTTGCTAATTAGTAATGATCTCTCCAGAAACATAACACCTTTCTAAACTTGAATGGAATATCTACCATAATGGAAGCAAATATACCATGAGCCTGATGGACTGTTAGTGTTATTGATGTGAAGTGAATATGACCCAGAAGGTTGCTGAATTTCTTCATAGAAAATTCTGCCTTCAAAAACTTCCATAAGCAGAACTGAATTGACATACAACTAAATTGTTATTCTGCAGAGTGCCAGTGTCTCCTCTTGCTTTCTCTCCATCCCTGCTAATGCAGTCAAATATTGGTTGTATTATTTTTTGTATTCATGTACAGAAGAAATATGAGTCAGGCTGTTTATAAATTTCCTGGAATTAGCACTTCAGGCAGTGGTCTAGTGTACTGTTACTTTGTCTTTCCTGAAAATATTTCTTTTTCTTCATTTTGCACCAGCCGTTTCATTTCATTATGAATGCCAACTTGTTGACACATTATTGATAGTTGAAATGCAGTATATTGGGTAGACCTCGTCATCAGAGCTGCTTGAAACTGAACCAGCATTGTCTTCAAGTAATTATGGCTGCCATTCTTCATCTTCTTCCTTTATCATTAACACTTGAGTTTAGACAAAAGCGTTCAAGACTTGTTTCTGTTGTGTTCTCAATAACGTTTGTGACTATTTATAAACCTTACTCTCAGGGTCACAACCTGTAGAACATCCACCCCACTCCCAGTTTGATCAATTAATTGCCCAGTATTAACTTTCAAGCAGCATTACAAAGTTGTTTTGCCTTTTTGTCCTCATTCGTACTCCTAATGAGGTTAATGTCAAGTTACTCTAAAAGGCTCGAATGTCTCTATCTACATTCCAGAGCTCCCTAAAAGAGTACAAATCACTATATATGTCCTCCCACAGGCAATCTTACCCCTGCATTTCATTAACCTATTTTAACTCTAAACTACAGTTCTGTCTGTAACTGCAAGTCAGAACTCCAGCAAAGAGTATAAATCACTACATGTGTCCACCCACAGGTTAACTCTTGCTTGAGAATCCCATCAACCACTAGTATCATATTACAGCTCTCCCATTGACAACAACTTGTCTTGTGTTCCCCATGGCCTCTGTGCCCTGAATACCTCAACTGTGTCAGTATTGTTACCCACCCCACAATGAACAAAGAAAAGAATTTACTATAAGAAAGTCTTTGGGTGTGATCCACCCAGTTGCCGGGGACAGGGTACCAAATATGTTGCCGGGGAAAGGGTTAATTTATTCTAACTTCTCTTTAACTTCAATAAATAAGTATTACAATACCTAAAATCATGAGGTTAAAAATTTGAAGAAATAATTTAGAATTATAAATTCAATTTAAAAGAAATTTAACTCCAATTAAATTTAAACACATAAGTATGTATAGAGATACAGCTTAGACAACTATAATTGCACAGCTGCCAATCAATTTTGTAATGAAAAAAAAAACGTTAAACCCAGTGACTAAATTTCTATAAATGCTTTTATCATAGAAATAAAAATGTACCTTCTTTGCTGGGAATCAGGATGCTTTGGCAGACATCCAGGAAGAAAGTACACCTGAATTGTAATGTCTGTTTTGCCAAAGGCAAAGTTAATTTTCTCTTTGACATCATTCCACTTGAGTTCATCTAACCCGCATCCAATAGCTGGCATGGCCAGTTCATTAACACCCAATTCCAGACATCTGTCCCTCAGGTTCAACAGGCACTGTTTCATCTGGACTATGGTCGGTTTCTCATTGTATTTGGTTTTGGTCACTAGGTAGAAGAGGTGACGACGTCCATGTTTCAAGTCAATGACTTCACCAATATCAGCTTTTTGAGCTTTAGCCTCGTCAACACATCCAAACCTTTGTTTGAATTCAACTGCGATGCCTTTTCCCATTTGTAAATCTTTGCTGACACATTGAACAAGACTAAATGTCTCTTCACAGGAAAATAGATCACCCTCAATTTCTGTAAGTTTCATTGTTCACCAGCGAAACTTGGCTTGTATAATATTTACTTTATTAGTTATTTGCGATGTATCAAAGCAAGATATTGATTAAGTTCTCGCTTACTTTTTTTTTTAAACAGAAACCACAATCACAAAATTAAACTTCCATTTTCAGTAATACTTTTGTATTTCTAAAGTCACTGCGTTATCACCGTCTAGCTTGTAGGGGCCTACATAGACACAGAATTCACACAGTTACTTATAATCGCATAACGAAAACCCGTTCTACTTCCGTGAAATCGAAACTGAAAGTAGTGATAAAAAAATAAAAAATATAGGTAAACTATGATAACCTACGCAGTTCAAAAATGTGATAAAGAAACAATATTAAAGATAAAAGCTATCGGATAAAAATAATGATGGTGAAATAGTAGCTACCATATGTAAATTATATAATTCAATCTAAGCTGAAAATGTTAATGCAAACTTATTTTATTTTAAACAAACATAATGGCAAACCTGCTATACGCTAATATAAATACAACTATTGATTTATCTGTTACAGAAACTAGGTGGTTGTCAATGCTAAAACACTTCACAGTGTGTATATTTTCAGGTATCTATAATATATATATATATATATATATATATATATATATATATATATATATATATATATATAAAATATATATATATATATATATATATATATATATATATATATATATATATATATATATATATATATATAGGTATATGTAGATACAGGTCTATTTATAGGCTTGGGATTTACCGGTTTTAATTATAGGTATAGAGTATAGATATTTATATATATATATGTGTAGGGAGTTACACCTGACCTATTTTATAATATGGCATATTGCTCGTAGTGTCAGGTGGATTTAATCCAAGAAAGAAAGAAGAAACACATCAACCAACTATTATCTGTGTGGTTCAGCCAACAACTGCACCTTAGATCCATTAGAAACAAGAATACACATCCAACACAGGACAGTTTTTAGAACACAACTCCGCGAGCGATCCAGTCAGTTCACGAACAAGACTGACCTAGTTTTTACACAGCTACACACTTGCCAGGGGAAACCACTCTGTTTGCCAACACAGTGTTTACGTTTTATCGACCATCGTCGTAGTATATAATCTCTCTCTCTATATATATGTGTGTGTGTGTGTATTGTATATATACTTACATGAATGAATGAATTTACAAATGAACGAATGAGTAAATGAACGAATGAACGAACGAATGAACGAATGAAATAATGAATGAATTAATTAATTTACAAATGAACGAATGAATGGCTACACTTTCTGCTTTAGTATTCATCAATGTAACATGTCTATAGTTGCCTGCACATTTGTGGATAGTGCCTTTCTGTGTGTAGGTGTGACACACCATTGTTCTTTATGCTAGTTGAATCCACCCTCCCACTATATTAGTAAATGTAAACTTTTTACGCCTTTTTCATGTGGTAGGCCCCTATCTTTTATTTCCTAAGGTACCTTTTCCCCTTGGTACCTTTTTACATAGACCTGACAGTGTTCGCCAGTTTCGTTTTATTAAACCAACAACAAATACATCATTCATGCACTTTAGTTTTTTTTTTTTTTTTTGGTCAGCCACGAAAAATAATGTAAAGTTTCTCAAGGATTACGATTATTGTGGACAAGAAGTGGGGATGGGAGGGGGGTGGAGTGGCAGCAGACAGATCGTGCAAGGACGTGTAAAAATGGGAGACGGGATAGTACCACTGAACCATGGTGTTTTTGCTACTGTTTTATATAACATAAACTATCAAGCACTGGTACACATTGGGTAATTTTAGCGTAGCCTTTCCGAGCATCTGTTTCATCATGTCCACCCTTCATTTTCATTCTCATTGGCACTTTCATTGTTATTATCATGAGAAATATATATATATATATATATATATATATATATATATATATATATATATATATATATAAGAAATAAACATTAATTATTAAGTTTATTTTCAGTGCGATTAAAAACTTGTTATTATAAAAGTTTTAATTTATTCTCGAGTTTCTAGTAATTCCATTTAAAGAACTGAAACCACTAACGCTAGACTAAAAGTATTTGCTTTAAAACCCGATCAGTAGCTTGCGATTCCTAAAAGATAATTATCTACGGTCGAAGACTCCCAACCAGAGAAATCAACCAACCGTGACAAGCAGTTTAACGTCATCGATTAGCTGATCGAGTGATTGCTACTATTTTTTTTCCTGTTATCTCCCCTGTTATTATTGAATGTATATTTTAAAAAATTGAATTTTATTGTCTAACCTAATTTTTTATTAAGTTTTAAAATATATATTCTCGTATTGCCATCATAGATAAATGTATCTAGAAAATTAGTATAAAGTTTCTGCATTAAACAATTGGTTAAACTTGAGGTACAAGATGTGCCACATTTCACAAACATAAAGCAAAACAAAAACAAACAAGCAGGTATTGTGAACTGAATAAGGAACACGCCAAAAATAGATTTGAATTAAAAATCTAACATTAAAATGCTGTTTTAAAACCCTACTATTTTGATAAAATTACTTCAGTTATTTATTAAATCATCCACAGTAAGTGCAGACCAAGTCAGAGGTAATATGGGCCAAAAATATATTTTATGAGCATCGTTTACACATTCACAAATATATATTTTTTTTTAAACCAACACACATATTTTAAACTCAACTATGGAACCCACCTTCTAAAAACAATGACCAAAACATTTTCTGGGGATGTTCATAGTTACAGTTTACTGTTACAGATACCACACACATGAGAGCCTAAATGAAGCTTTTAAAAAACATTTCAAGTACACAAATAAACTATTTGAGTGGTGACATAAACTCTGTCGGGAAACTTTTAAGCTCTCTTGTAGGTGACGACAAACTCAGGGTAGACCAGGCTCTCGTCGTAGACAACAAATTCACGGAACAGCCAGTCGCCGTCTGCCATCACAGAGTCGTAGCCAGACGGAGGGCTGTTGCGGCCCTGTACCATCGACAAATTGCTCTCTGGAAAAATAAATCAAGTAGAATGACTTTAGAAGTATCAAATTCCTTGCTTAAAAGTATGCAGTTTCTTTTAAAACAGAATTAGAAAAATAAAATATCCATATATAAATATATTACCCTATGTCTTAAATACAGTGTTTCTTCCAGACTTTTTTCTCCGAGGTGTAGCGAGAGGGCACTTGATATTTTCTGGGGGGGGGGGGGGGGGAGGGTGGACCGTCTACATTTTTCGGGGGGGGGGGACATTAGTAAAATTATATGTTTACTATATAAATATCGTCTCGTTCGGGGGTGGGTGTGGGGAGGCGGTAGACTTTCTTAGGGGGGGGGGGGGACGGCTCCGCCCCCCCCTGAAGAGATGCCTGGAATAAACTGCTTAAATAGCAACCACTGATAGCACTTACTGTTACACAAGAAGACATCCCCCAGCAATGTGCGGCTAAGTATTATCTTTAGTCTGTGGCCATCAGGACTTCGTGCGTCAGTGGGATCTAGAGAAAACAAATACAAATAGTTGTAAACAAAACAATACGCATATTATAGACAATATCCTTCCATTACATTGATTAAACACATTATAACTACTTAATTTAGTCATTCAAAGCTATACATCTTTACAAAAAATGAAATCACAGACAATAATAAAAATATAATGTTTAACCACTAATACGACATGTTGCGGATCGGAATACGATGCAGTAGCGTAGCGAGGGGGTTTGGGGGGCGGGGGGGGGGGGGGGCATATATCCCCGGGCGCCGACCTTAGGGGGCGCCCAAATGGGTTGGAAAAATAAATTGAAAGGTTGAGGGGGATGCAAATCGAATGTATGGAGGGGTGGGGGTGCAAATCGAAATCTTGGGGGGAGGGGGGTGCAAATCGAAAGATTGAGGGAGGGGGGGGCGTGGGGTGCAAATCGAAAAGTTTGTCCCCGGGCGCCGGGAAGGGTCGCTACGCCTCTGCTATAATGTTGCCGTCCAGTTGCCTAGTCGCCGGCCGAATACGTTGCTGACACTGGCTCGGGCACTAGCCAATGAGGCCGTCGTTGTCTAGGGGTATCTTATAATTCACCCGAGACAGCTACAGTAAACTACAGACAGGAGACCTTCTTAGTTTATGTTATGTATCAATTCACTAAACGCTTGTTCCGCTGGGCGAGGCTTCCCCTAACCGCTAATGTCTGGAGCGCTTGTGCGTTAGAGAGAGTGAGAGAGAGAGAGAGAGAGTGAGATAGAGAGATAGAGCGAGATACTATCGATCCTGCCTGTATTTATACCCCTGTTCTAACCCCTAGCTATTCCCACGGGACAATGAGCTCAAACCTAGTGACCTAACAAATTATCCCCCCTGGCGCTAAAAAACACTGGTAAGTATAAAGACTACTATTGTCCTGTCAGAGCGATCAGTCTCTTTGAACGTGTCACCTACTATCCATCCCTACGGTTTACCCTGTAATTATCTAGTGAATGGATGCTTGTGGAATTCTGACCCAACACGAAATAAGATGTTTCTCTAAGACCTCTGGTTTGTGATTAGAGCAAAAGAGCTCTAATCTTTATCACGATCGTGGTTTGTTGAGAAAAAATAACAACTAGGTCTATTTAGTTACCTATTCAAAAACTATGTACCTGCATACTGGTTGGCTTTAGTGGACTTCTCGGCCTGGTAGATGCCAGAGCCTAGCATGCCTCCAGCAGACTTTCTGAAGCCGATGTCTTTCAGCCCGCCGATCCTGTCAAATGTCGTCCCGTGGAACAGGTAGTGCTCGTTAACCTCTTGACACAGGTCGTCCGTCAAGAAGTCTGGCAGATACCTGCTGGTAACTACACCTCCACTAGATTTGGGTAGATCACCCACCTTTTCACACACTCTGCCTGATCTTAACTTTTTGAACAGCAGTTCTTGTTTGGCGGCTTTGTACCTCCTAAAAAGGTCAGGGTTCTCAATTCTTTCTACATTGAGGATCATAAGACCGGTATCTCTTCTAAGACCGAAGGCGTCTCGGCCGAAGCTGGTTTGGGCAGGGTTCCATGTGGATTGTACCAGGTTGATAATGGCTTGTTTGGTGGAAGAATCCACATCCGCCAGCACTGACCGCCCACTGCCCCGTGTTGTCCAGTTACTTGGGATGTCTGGTTCAGACTGTACAACGTATCTGAGGTACTCGACAGTTCCTCTCCTGGGTGTGTTGTATGAAAACATCGTGCTAGATCAAAACATAGAGCAAAGTGCGTTATTAGTACGTATTGGAACTATTTTAATGTTCATCTTTTAAAGTAAACATAACCTCAAAACTTACTCTGGCCTTAACCCACATTATTTATCATTTAGATCACCTAATATTATCCTGACACTATCTAATTTAACCATGGTCTCATACATAGTCTTTAACCATGTCACTAACTTATCACAAACCATAATCATACTTTAAGTCTCTAATCGATCCTATCCCTAAAAACTTAACCACTTGAAAATCATAACTTTGGGCCCGGATCAGAAAAACAATCTGGATAACTTAAGTTGCCCTAAGTTATCTTGTAATAATAAATTTTATAACATAATATGATTATTCTTAAAAAAAACATTCATAAAATCATAAAATCATTTAATTTACATTTATTTCGTGTAATCAATATAAATCTAAATTTATAAACTAAAAACAAATATAAAATTTGTAATTTAGAGTCTACTAAACACATCCACGTACAAGTAATTCCGACTTACTGTTTGAAACCACGACCGTAATATTCACAGAAAAGCTGCCTAACTGAAAGAACGATGATAGCAATATGCGTTATATGACGTCAGCTTACCTGTCTCTTAGTGGGGCCAAATATCGTAACCTCATTGACCTACTAATTAGGATAACATTGGGCACGAGTTTTTAAAAGCATGGGTAAATTTTTTTTATCTAAAGCTCGATCTTAATTGTAAAAACAGTTAAGTGTCAACATATTATATAAACCGTTGACTCCGATTTTAGCCTAAATTCTTGCTGGATTAGCTTCTATAGATTTTGTCCATCCAAGAACAAACTACAAGGCAGTAGTTATTTAATTTTGGATTTGTCTATCCTATTTGAGTTCTTGTCCGGGATATATATATATATATATATATATATATATATATATATATATATATATATATATATATATATATATATGGCATGAGGCGGTTTCTGAATAAATATTCGAATTTGAAAAAAGACCAGAATTAGGGAAGAAATCTCAGGGGAGATCATTCCCGCTTTATTCACAAACACATTCAATTTTACTTGAAATAGTTTAAACAAAGAAATTTTAAAATTAAAATAAAAAAAAATATGTTTTAACTTGAGGTCTGCAAAAATATCTGGCAATCACAATTTCGACCTACCTCTTAATATATGCGTATATTATAAAACACAGTCCGTTGCTTACACATAAATTTAAAAGCTGTATATATGAGAGATGGGAAAAAGCAAATTGTTATATAGTGCCGCTTACCTGCATTCACAGAAAAAATCGACTGAAAAACTTCAACTTTCATTTTCAGTGGGTTTTTTTTTCCTCGAATCTCAGCTTATCAACAAGTAACTTCTAAAATGACACGTAATTCACCTTGCGGCATAATGCGCCTAAAAAAGGAATCCGTTCTTGTTCCTTGAATTCGAAACTGAAAGTAGAGATAGTGCATTGGAAAAAATCAATGTTAGTAAACTATTACGGCCCGCGCAGTAAGGTCAAACAAGTGGAGAAAAAAAAAATTACAATATAAAAGATACGTGATTATGGAATATAGAAAATTCCGTTAAAATTAGCCATATTTACATAAGTTAGAAAATATATTCAAAATGCAAAATGATAATGAATTCATATTTTAGCTAATCGTACTGTTAAAACTGTTGCATGAAAGTACTTAGACAACCATTGATTTAGGTATGAAAAGTTGCTGTTTGTGTGTTTATGAATAAATGATTGAGCGAATGAACGAATGAACCAATGAACCAATGAACAAATAAACAACTGAACAAGCAAATGAATAAACACATGAAACAATGAATGAACTTGTTAATTAATGTCACCTACCCAACTCTGCCTACTGTGCATTCATCAATGAAGCATGCCTAAATGTGTGTGCCCACATCCGAGTAATATCCCTCTGTTACTGGGGAACGACGTTCTTTTTTTCGTGCTAGCATGTACCGCATCCTTATCATCATGTATTCTCAATAAGTGTAGAATAATTATGCCCTCGATCCTCTGGTGCCATGTTTACACAGATCTTGACGGTGGTTTCATGTTCCGTTTTACAAAAGTAAGACGAACCACATCGCAACACGCTCTTTACTTTATTTCGTCGGCAACTGAAAACAAATTGTTAATTTCCGCGAGAATTATGTTAATTCTGAACAGAGGTGCCGGGGGGGGGGGGGGGGGTTGAGATTTATTGGAGGGTTGGGTAGAAGCTGCAATATCGTCTGAAGACTGGTACACTCGCACACTCCACCCCGCACACACACACAAACACACGTGAAACTAAAGACACACATACAATCTACCACTTACCTCACTAAGCCAGATGAACTAGTACTAGCCATGGATTCCGCCTATGGTACCAAGGATGTAGACCTTGGTTGACCACATGATCACCTTGATCGAGTACCAACCTAAATCTTCCAATACACCAAGAATGACAGCTTGTTTTCACTTTCTAATCGTCATCATTATGCTCGTTGCGACTAACATCTTCCTTATCGTTGTGTTCGGTAAGAGGAAGAAGGTGAGTACATTGTTCTGCTAGTATTTTTTTTTTGGCAAAAGTTATTTGTGCAGGAATCATTAGATGCAGAAGGTTTGCGGAGGTTTCTTGAGGTTTAAGGTTTAAAGAAGTTTTATGTCATTTAAGTAGTTTAAACCTTAGTTAAGAGAGTTTAAGAAGTTTAAATGAGGTTGAATGAGGTTTAAGGAGGTTAAATGAGGTCTAAGGAAGTTTAATGATGTTTAATGATTATTAAGAAGGTATAAGGAGGTTTTATGAAGTTTTATGAGGTTTAAGGAGGTTTAATGAGGTATAATGAGGTATAATGAGGTATAATGAGGTCTAAGGATGTTTAATGATGTTAAATGAGGATTAAGAAGGAATAATGAGGTTTAAGGAGGTTTAATGATGTTTAATTAGGTTTAAGGAGTTTTAGGGATGATTAATGCGGTTTATGTTTATGTTTCAAATGCGGATTATAGAGATTTAAGGAGGTTTTAGGTTTAAGATTTTAGGAGGTTTAAATAGGTTTAAGGAGCTTTAATGAGGTCTAAGGAGCTTCTAGGAGGTTGAATGAGGTTCACGGAGGAGAACGTTTAATTAGGTTTAAGAAAGTTTAAAGGGGTCTAAGAAGGTTCAATGAGGTTTTAGGAGGTTTTATTAGATTTAAGGTGGTTTAAGGAGGTTAAAGGAGGATTAACGAGGTTGACAGAGGTTTAAGGAGATCTAATTGGGTTTTTTGAAGTTTAAGGAGGTTTACGGAGGTTTTATTGGGATTAAGGAGGTTTAATGAGTTTTAATGAATTTTAATGGAGTTTAAGGATGTGAAGCAGTTTTAAGGGGTTTTAGAAGGTTAAGAATGGTTTAATGGGATTGACTGTTAAAGGTATATGGATCAGCATATGGTGTGCGATTTAATTGGGTTAAATGAGATTTACTGAGGTTTATCGATTACATACATTTATACGTTTTAAGGAGGTGCATGGAGGATTTAAGGAGATTTAACAATGTTAAAGGAGGTTTAAGGAAGTTTAATTAGATTTCAGAAGGTTTAAGTATTTTTAAGGGGGTTAACAGAGAATCAAGGGGTTTACGGTGGTTAAATAAGGTTTAAGTAGTATTTGGAAGTTTAAGGACATTAAACAATGCTAAAAAACATTTAATGAAGTTTTAGGAGATTCAAGAATGTTAAAGCAACTTTAAGGAGGTTTAAGGAGGTTAAACGTGGTTAAAGGAGGGTTAACGTGGTTAAAGGAGGTTTAACAAAGTTTATGTAGATTTAATAATGTTGAAGAATAGTTACGGAGGTTTAATGAGGTTTAATGAGGTTTTAGGAACTTTAAGGAGGTTTAAAGAGGTTTAAGGAGATTTGATGTGGTTTAAGGAGGTTTAATAAGGTTTAAGTTGGTTTATGGAGGTTTAAGGTTAAAGGAGGTTTAAGTAGGTTTAAGAAGGTTGAACAAGGTTACGTTTTAAGGGGGTTCTAGATAGCTAAGAGGCTTGTAAGGTTAAAGTTAATTAAATATAATTAAAGTAGCATGTTTTAGTCGTAGGTCCCGACATAGGGTGATACACTGGCATACAGTATAATCGTGTCAGGACGATTAATGGTGGAAAACTAGATTGCTAATATCTAAAACAACATTCAGAAAATTGTAGACGGCCATAGTATTTTTAATAACTTGGCCAAAAAACGTTTAAGAAGGTTTAAACAGGTTTACGTAGGTTGAAAGTCCCGAAATCTCCAAAAATACCAAAATTCTCGGTATTCGTGTACAGCCATATGGCATTTACCGTTGTCGTTGTGACTATCATCCTTCTTTTTTGTGTGTTTGGTAAGAAGAAGAATGTGAGTGCATCGTCCAAATCTATTGTGTTTTACCATCACATTGAGATAAATGTCACAATAAATCGGAGGTCATCAATGCTAAATTTTATATTAATATTTCCTGCAATATTATTTCTCTTGCAACAATCACTTCGCATCCGTTGTTTAAAAAAAAAAAAAAACTTGGTTTGAGTAACGAATTTAAAACATTACTATAAAACCTGAGGTTTTGAGAGGGTTTATGAGGTTTTGAGAGGTTCGAAGAGGCATTATGAGATTTAAGGAGGTTTATGGATATTTGATGTGATTTGTGATATTTAAGGCGGTTTATGTTTTAAAGAGAAGTATTCTGGTTTAAGGAGGTTTAAGGAGGTTTAAGGAGGTTTAAGGAGGTTTAAGGAGGTTTAAGGAGGTTTAAGGAGGTTTAAGGAGGTTTAAGGAGGTTTAAGGAGGTTTAAGGAGGTTTAAGGAGGTTTAAGGAGGTTTAAGTGTTAAGGAGATGTATCACGGAAATTTAAGGAGGTTTAAAAGTTTTAATGAGATCTTAAGAGGTTTAATCATTTGTAATGATGTTGGAATAATTTCATAAATGTTCTAGTTTAAATGTTAATGGAAGTATAAGAAGATCAAAGGAGGATTAAGCTTTCAGAATGTTCAAAGACATTTAGGCTCAAAGAGGTTTAAAAGGTTCAATAAAACCCAAGCCATCGACGCAAACAAAAAAATAATGAATTTATATTCCAAAATTTCAACACTGTATGTATGGTGGCGTATATATTCCTGATTCATGCGTACAGTTAAAGGAAGATGGTGAGTACATTGTACTGCTGTTTTTAGGGGGGGGGGGAGTGTATTGTAATGAGGTTTAAATAGTTTAAGTAAGGTTAAGGATTTGAGAGGGCCTAAGTTATTTTTTAAGGTTTCTCGAGGTTTAATGATGCTGAATGAGGTTTAAGGATTAAGTACTTTAAGGTTTGATAAGTTGTAGGTCTTGACGTTGGGTGTGTTAGACTGACAATCAGTACCATCGTGGCACGATTTAAAACACTGTTTAGACATCTATAGAGCGCCATAAACCCATTGTGTTTTAACCAGCTTGGCCACAAAGGTTTGAGAAGGTTTACACAGGTTTACGCAGGTTGAAAGTGCCGAAATCTCCGACATTCCCAAAATTCACGGTATTCATTTACTACCATATCGCATTTACCATTGTGACTAACATCTTTCTTACTTTTTGTGTTCGGTAAGAGGCAGAAGTTGAGTACATCGTCCTAATCCATTGTGTTTTACCACCAAATTTAGGTATCTGTCACAACAATGCCTAGCACATCATGTTAAATTTTATTTTAATATTTCCTGCAATATTATTTCCCTTGCAACACTCAGTCGCATCCGTTGATTAAAAAAAAAACTTGGTTTGGGTGACGAATTTTAAACATTACTATAAACCTGAGGTTTTGAGAGGGTTTATGAGGTTTTGAGAGGTTCAAGGAGATTTTATGAGATTTAAGGAGGTTTATGGATATTTGATGTGATTTGTGGTATTTATTCTGGTTTAAGGGGGTTTAAGGAGGTTTAAGGAGGTTTAAGGAGGTTTAAGTGTTGAGGAGATGTATCAAGGAAATTTAAGGAGGTTTAAAAGTTTTAATGAGATCTTGAGAGGTTTAATCATTTGTAATGATGTTGGATTAATTTCATAAATGCTCTAATTTAAATGTTAATGGAAGTATAAGACAATTAAAAGAGGATTAAGCTTTCAGGATGTTCAAAGAGATTTAGGCTCAAAGAGGTTTAAAAGGTTTAATAAAACCCAAGCCATCGACGCAAACAAAAAATAATAATGAATTTAAATTCCAAAATTGCAACACTGTATGTATGGTGGCGTATAAATTCCTGATTCATGCGTACAGTTAAAGGAAGATAGTGAGTACATTGTACTGCTGCTTTTTTTAGGGGGGGGGGGGGTAGGTGTATTGCAGTTTAATGAGGCTTAAATAATTTAAGTAAGATTAAGGATTTGAGTATGCTTCAGTTAATTTTGAAGGTTTCTGGAGGTTTAATGATGATAATGAGGTTTAAGGAACTTTAAGGTTTAAGTACTTTAGGGTTTGATAAGTTGTAGGTCTTGACGTTGGGTGTGTTAGACTGACAACCAGTACCATCGTGGCACGATTTAAAACAATGTTTAGACATCTATAGAGCGCCATAAACCCATTGTGTTTTAACTAGCTTGGCCACAAAGGTTTGAGAAGGTTTACACAGGTTTACGCAGGTAGAAAGTGCCGAAATCTCCGACACTCCCAAAATTCACGGTATTCATTTACTACCATATCGCATTTACCATTGTGACTAACATCTTTCTTACTTTTTGTGTTCGGTAAGAGGCAGAAGTTGAGTACATCGTCCTAATCCATTGTGTTTTACTAACAAATTTAGATATATTTCACAATAAAGCGGAGGTCATCAATGTTAAATTTTATTTTAATATTTCCTGCAATATTATTTCCCTTGCAACACTCAGTCGCATCCGTTGATTC